GTGGTTGGTAGGACAGGTGTGTGTGGTTGGTAGGACAGGTGTGTGTGTGTGTGATAGGACAGGTGTGTGATTTGTAGGACAGGTGTGTGTGTGTGTGAGATAGGACAGGTGTGTGATTGGTAGGACAGGTGTGTGATAAGCTCTCACCAGGACCTGCGGCTTCTGCTGCTCATCTCTGCTGCTCATATGAACGCTGACACTGAACTTCTGGAAGAAACAGAGTTCATCACCTCTGTGTCACGTTATCAGTATTTATAACTAAATAATTAATTAATTAAACATTTGTACCCTAACCTTCTGCAGTGTGTGAACATAATTCAACATGTTTCCTCAGTATCAGTTAGCCGTTTGACTCCAATCATCACTTCATAAACATCTGATCTTAATTCAGAAACAGATGAAATCACTTCTTCATCATCCAACAGGTGAGCAGCATTAAGAGAAGGAACAACATTCTTCTTTTATCAAATTAGAAACGAGCAAAACGATCAAACAAGTCTGTGGTTCAGAGTGACGGTTGAGCTAGCGGCTAGCATTAGCGTTAGCATTAGCGTTAGCTAGCCGCTAGCTGGTGAAGTAAAGACGGTCCATAACGTTTAAAGTGGGAGAATAAAAATATCAAACCGGCGCTTTATCCCGGGGTGAGTCTGTTTAACGTGTCCCGGTAGATTACCGGCTGAATGTCTGTAATATCTATAATATCTGAATATAATGAGATCAGAGAACTTACCGGCGACGGTTGGCGGAGGAGGAGAAACGTTAAGAGACGAGCTCGTGCTCTTAGGTCACGGACCAAAAGGACCCCTCTGATTGGACAGACCCAGTCATGACGTCACTGTAGTTATGAAGTCGTTAGACGTGCTGCAAAAGTAACTAATTTATTTATTTAATTAAAGAAGTCACTTTTTTATTCACGCACTCATATATTAAATAAAAGAAGTAAGTTTTTTAAGAAAAGAAGTCGCTTATTTTTATTCATTTATTTATTATTAAATAAAAGAAGTTGCTTATTTTTATTTATTTTCATGTTAAATAAAAGAAATAAAGAATAAAAAAGAAGCTTGTAATGCTGCTAAAGTTGTAATGAAATGTAACGTATAATTATTATAATTATAAAAAATATTATAATTATTATAATAATCATTTATTATAATAATTATTATTATACTAATTATTATTAGTATAATAATTATTATTAATAATGTTATATATTCAGCACATGCTACAGGGTGAACTGTAATAACTGGTGAGGTTCTTCCTCTCTTCATGCTCTCTGACGCCTTTAGAGGAAACACCTCTATCTACAGGCAGAGCGAGGAACTGCAGCCGGAGAACAGCGCAGTGCCGTGGTGTTTAATAAAGAGACGTTATTATACTGTTGTACTTTGCTAATAAAGAAGCTACATGTGAGCGTGACATTCAAATGTAAAGTCCTCTAAACTTAAACTTCGATTTGTAACTTTTTTTCTAAAATGAAGCAACTGATAAAACTAATTTCCCAGAATCCTTTGCAGGATGACGCTTGGCTATCCCGCCCGTTGTTAAACAAAATCTCCCGGCATGCTCTCCTGTAGGCCAAGGAGAAGAAGAAGAAGCGTCATGATGGAATCTAACGTGACAAAACCTTCGTCAGTCCAGAGTAATAAAGTCTAAGACGTCCATGTTTCTTCACCGGAGCTTCTTTACGATCCGAGCCCGCTAGTAACAGCGAGAGAGCGAACTCTACAGCGGAGATTGTCGGTGAGTTTTCTCATTAGCAGTAGCTAGCTAAGTAGCTATAAGTAGCGTTGTTGTTATAGCACTGGGCCTCCATTTAATCCGGCTACCATACACAGCGAAACACCCCTTAATAAACCACATAAAGTTACACAGAGAAGTGTTCAGTTCATCTGAAGCAGCACGTTTAACTACACGTGTAGTCATAATATGTCAGCAGTGTGCTAAGCTACATATGCTAACAGTCTGTCTGTTACCATACTAAGAGTACGAGCCAACGGTTTTAGCATCAACGAGCTAACGGCGTTAGCATCAACGGGTAGAAATACGTTATGGTTTAAAAAAGTAACGTTCTGAGAATCAGAGAAACACGCCCACAAACTGTCTGTTTAACATTATCCTCATCATATTATCTTCATTTTCATAATATTTTATTGTTAAAAGTCACACCATCTATAGCAGTGTGCAGTGTTAGCTCTGTGTTAGCCACATGTTTAGCTAACCAATGAGACCTCGTGTTGTTTTAGAGATGATTGATTTATAGAATATCAGTAACTAAGTACATTTAGAAAAGTACTGTTTAAGGAACTAGAATGAGGTACTTGTACTTTCTACTTCTCCACTACATCTCAGAGGTAAACATGGTACTTTCTACTTCTCCACTACATCTCAGAGGTAAACATTGTACTTTCTACTTCTCCACTACATCTCAGAGGTAAACATGGCACTTTTTACTGTACTACATCTCAGAGGTACATATTGTACTTTTTACTGTACTACATCTCAGAGGTAAACATGGCACTTTTTACTGTACTACATCTCAGAGGTAAACATTGTACTTTAATGTTTGTGATAAAGTGAAGGATGAATAGTCATTTAAAAGCAGCTTTTTAACTCTGTTGTGTCAGTTAACAGTTTTCATTAATTTCCAGTGAAGGTAGTTGAAGTGTGGACAGCGTCATGTATAGAGTGTATTCAGTAGACTCTGATCCTGTCGACTAGTATCAGATACTAACACAATCACTACACAAGGACTCTGATCAGCCTTGACTTTAATGTTCAGATGGAATTCCTTTATTATAAAGAAACATTCTTTCATATTTACATTGTCCTTTAACCCTTTACATGATGACTGATCAGTATCTGTTCACCTCCTGCTGTTTGGACTAGTTCATGTGGATTTACGGGGACTAGTTGACGTGGATCAGGACTCTTTATGGGCATCAGGGACAGACTTGTTTTTAGTCTCAGATGTGTTGTGTCTCCTGTCTGGTTCGTGCCGTGGTTGTAAAGCTTACTTACACATGCTCCCTTTAGGACCCGTCCCAAAGGTAAACTGACCACCTGGTCTCCCGTCACGGCAGGTTTAACGGGTCACCATGGCGACGGACATCGGATCACCACAGCGGTTCTTCCACATGCCGCGCTTCCAGCACCAAGCGCCACGACAGGTGTTCTACAAGAGGCCCGACTTCGCCCAGCAGCAGGCCATGCAGCAGCTCACCTTCGACGGGAAACGCATGAGGAAGGCCGTGAACCGCAAGACCATCGACTACAACCCGTCTGTCATCAGACACCTGGAGGTAAACACACCTGTGTTACGTTAACGGGGCTTTCAAAATGCTCTTTAATGAATAATCAAATGTACTGAAGAAGTCCTTTGAGATCTGGTCTGGTTTTAAGGTTGCTAACGATTAGCCGTTAGCACATGGAACATTGTCATGCTAACGATCAGCCGTTAGCACATGGAACATTGTCATGCTAACGATCAGCCGTTAGCACATGGAACATTGTCATGCTAACGATCAGCCGTTAGCACATGGAACATTGTCATGCTAACGATCATCCATTAGCACATGGAACATTGTCATGCTTTAAGATTGCTAACGATTAGCAGTTAGCACATGGACCATTATGTTTTTTTGTCTGCAATCTTTGATGTTGCCACCGCGACCCGACCCTGGATAAGCGGAGGAAAATGGATGGATGGATGGACGATTAGTCGTTAGCACATGGACCATTGTCATGTTTTAAGGTTGCTAACTATTAGCCGTTAGCACATGGACGATTGTCATGTTTTACGGTTGCTAACGATTAGCCGTTAGCACATGGACCATTGTCATGTTTTAAGGTTGCCAAACTTGACTTGTTTTAGAATCGTTTGTGGCAGCGAGACCATCGAGACTTCAGAGCCCTTCAGCCGGACGCAGGATGTTACAACGAGGTGAGTTCGGACCGGTTCTGCTCATCACTTAACATTCATGACCTCTTGTGTCTTTAGCACCAGATTTGAAGGACTGAACAAGATGTTTGTGTGTTTCCTCAGCTGGTTCCTCCTGTGGGAATGTGCACCAACCCAATGAACGCCGTCACCACAAAGTTTGTCCGAACCTCCACCAACAAAGTCAAGTGTCCCGTGTTTGTGATCAGGGTAAGCTGACTGAGAAGTGCTTTTATTGTGAAACATTTGAGCTTTTATTGTGAAACATTTTGAGCTTTTTTTTTGAAGCAGTTTGAGCTTTTGTTTTGTTTTATTGTGTTAAGGAGAGAACGTTGCTTCACTGATTTCTGTGTTTCCTGTTTGTCTCCAGTGGACTCCTGAAGGCCGTCGTCTGGTCACTGGGGCCTCCAGTGGAGAGTTCACTCTGTGGAACGGACTCACCTTCAACTTTGAGACCATTCTACAGGTAAACATCTACCCGTACCTCCACACACCTGTACCTCTGTATGTAGATAAAGAGGAAACCCCCTTCAGTTCCAGTATTCATGCGCATGGTGTCTCCCTGTTTGTGTCCACATGAGTGGTCCTGACGTCGTCTCTGTCCCCTACAGGCCCACGACAGTCCGGTCCGGGCCATGACCTGGTCTCATAACGACATGTGGATGCTGACGGCGGACCACGGTGGCTACGTGAAGTACTGGCAGTCCAACATGAACAACGTGAAGATGTTCCAGGCTCACAAGGAGGCCATTAGAGAAGCCAGGTTTATACCCAATCTACCATTTTCTGTAGTTACCTCCAGTCTCTTACTGTCAGCGCTGCAGTACCATGCTGCAGCCACGCGGGGGCGCCTCCTCGCTTCGCGCCACATGTTGTTGATTCATGACAGATGTAAGTGTGTGCTGTTGCAACACTGCAGTGATCTGTTGTTGATGTTCTTCCTGATGTGGCTGATGAGCTGTTTATCTCTGTTCTGCTGAATAAAGTCATCAATCATTAATTAACATCTGGTTCTGGTAGGCCCGGTGGTTCTGGTGGAGAGGAGGATGGTCAGAATAAATCCATAATAAAGTCTTAGCAGGGACCAATAAAGTGAATAAAGAGAAGCTCCTGCACACACTGCTGGTCTGAACCTCATCAAACAGGCAGCTGTAGATGTTTAAATAAAGGTTTCAGTTCAACACCTTGAACACAGCCCTGGAGCTAAATACCCACCTTCTTCTGCTGTTAACTGGTACAGTGGGACACGCAAGACACAGACCCCGACTCTTAATCCACAAACACTGGATCCACATCTCCCATGATGCACCTGGATAGTGTGTGACGCAGACTGTACGTTAGACGTTTGTAGCGACAAAGCCTGATGACCTCACTGTGACCTCATCGGGCCACAGATGACATCACATGACAGGTCCCGGGAACACCTGTACAGTGTGATGTCATCGTGAACAGCACACCTGAGTCCTCTTGTTTGTGGAGATGTAATGTAGAAACGTGAGGAAGAGAGCGGACGGATGGCTAGGTAGCTAGTTAGCTTGTCCTCCAGAGCGGAGGGACCGCTAGACTCGGCGCTGCTGACATTTTCTGTAACCAATGTAGCATTAAAACACTGTGGAATTAGCTAGCAAGCTAACTAGCCAGCTGTCCGCTAGTTAGCTTGTGTGACGAGCGTGAGTGGAGGAAACGTCACGTTGTTAGATTTGACTCCTTTACTCTCTGATGGTTTGAGTCGTTACTGTGAAGCCTCAGTGAGTCGTTCATGTAGAAGTTAGCTCGTCGGCTAACGGTGCTGACATATAAATGGCTGCCGCTCTGACCGTTGATTTGAGTGGGAATGTCTCTTCTACTCTTCTTCTGTTTCTACAGACACATTAGGCGTTCTTGTTATTTTGTCCGTGGACGGAAGTTAGATCACAAACTGTTGCTGGCCGAACACTACACTACCCATAAGCCTTAGCAACACCAGTGGAGTCGGCCCTCACAGCTGCTGAGGTCACGTTAGAGAGAAGTTCTGTTTCTAAAAGTCTCTGCTTCAGTTGTAGTGACTCTACTTCTCTCTTGATTTATTACCTCAGTAAACATTGTAAACATGAGTTTATGGTCTCAATCTCTAGTTTCAAGTCTTCAATACAGCATGATGTTCATTTAGTATGTTATGGTCCATTTAGAGTCAAACAGACCATAAAGCAGGGGATGTCTTAGGGCGGGGCTATACAGTGATTGACAGGTCTCTACCAGAGACGTATACGCCGTCTCTACGTCGCTCCTCAGTCCAGATATGCTCACCTCCTGTTCACTGGTCGCATAAAAAAACAAGATGGCGACATCCTAAATGCAGAACTCAAGGCTTCAAAACACGTCACTGCGTCTACGTTGTGAGGCTGCCCCCCAAGTCACTCGAGGGTCATCGTATTTCGCATCTTCAGGTTTAATTAACGGCCTTCCTGTTACTCTACAGTGAGCCTTTAGTTGTTTGTTTTTGAATCACAAACAAAGGCTTTGGTGTGTTTTATTCATGTGTGCGGTTGCCAGGGAAACAAGTATACAAAAATACCAAAATTGAAAACCGAACCTAACGAACAAATATCTGAATCGTTTAATACACAAAAAAAAACCTCACTGCTTCAGTTATTGAAGGTTTCTACTGGAGAACCAGAGGAATGCTGTGTTGATGAAGGACTCTTCACAAACAGGACGTTGAGCGGGTTTATAATCTATTTATAAAAACTCGGTTTAAATAATTTACTTAATTTTATCCGGAGTTTCGTGTTTCTGATCAGTTTCATATCAGAGAGAGATCCTGGACTGTTAGCCTAGCTTAGCACAGAGACTGGAGATGTGGGAAACTACTAGCTTAGCACAAAGACTGGAAGTAGAGGGAAATTGTTAGCCTAGCTTTGCACAAACACTGGGAGCAGGGACAAACGGATAGCCTAGCTTAGCACTAAGACTGGGAGCAGTGGAAAACTGCTAGCCTAGCACAAAGACTGGAGGAAGGGGGTTCTGTAAATCTCTTAGCACACAAAAGCAGCAGGGTGAAATTGCTAGCTTGCTTAGCACAAAGAGTGGCAGCAGGGCAAACTGCTAACCTAGCTTAGCACAAAGAGTGGCAGCAGGGCAAACTGCTAACCTAGCTTAGCACAAAGAGTGGCAGCAGGGGCAAACTGCTAACCTAGCTTAGCACAAAGAGTGGCAGCAGGGGCAAACTGCTAACCTAGCTTAGCACAAAGAGTGGGAGCAGGGTAAAACTGCTAGCCTAGCTAAGCACAAAGACTGGCAGCATGGTGAAACTGCTATCCTAGCTTAGCACAAAGACTGGGAGTAGGGACAAACTGCTAGTCCAGTTTAGCACAAAGTATCTGAAGTGACTTCATAATTTTGTCTTCAGCTCCTTTCTTTGACGGTTCAAATGTTTTGTAGAAACACAAAATTAGAAAATCAGTTCTCGCAATAGTTCTGGACGACGCTGACTCTTAGTTTTTGTAGAGGAATGTGTTGATGGTTGGTTTTGTATTCAGTATAAACATTCACTTCCTGGTTGATTTAACCTCATCATTTTCACCTCAACGTTCTCGTGCTCTTTCTCCAGTGTTTATGTAGCGTGCTGCCTCACTGCCGGGCTGACGGAGCTACTGAGAGAGTTGTGATTTAAACCTGTCAGACACGTCTGATTACATTATAATTAAACATCAGATTCAGAAAACATTGATAATAATAGAAATACCAGTGTTCCCAAAGTAGAACCTTGAGGAACACCGTTCTCTTTTATGAGATCAATAAATCGATCATGACAAACATCAGATGGCAGGATTCGTAAATATTACATTGTTTTAAGATATTGTGGTAATTGATTATAAACGAGTGGTATAAATACGGAACCGTTACCTGTTGTTGGGATCCAGTGTGGACGTGTCCGTTCCGGAGCTCTCGATCACGTCACATGGTCTTCCTCTCTAGTCACCGTGGTGACGTTCTGCTTGTATTCTCCAGTTTTTCTCCAACAGATAATAAATTTGCCACCTGCTCCGACGACGGGACGGTTCGGATCTGGGACTTCATGCGCTGCCACGAGGAGAGGATCCTCAGAGGTACACCAGCACCTGTTACTGCCACGATACGTTAGCCTGAGCTCACACTGAGCTCACCTAGAGTCACCTGAGCTCACCTACACTCACCTAGACTCACCTGAGCTCACCTAGACTCACCTGAGCTCACCTAGGCTCACCTAGACTCACCTAGACTCACCTGAGCTCACCTAGACCTCAGTGTATGAAAACTGAAATGATGAAGAAAAGAATCAATATAAAAACTGATGAAATATAGAAATAAAACAGTTAAAAATGTGTATATATATGTGTATATTTTAGTGCTGGAGAAGTTAACGCGTTATCGCGTTTATCAACAATTATTTTATCGCACGTTAACGCATTTTTTTTTTTTATTAAGCGGACATTTTTAACAGAAGAACCGCAGTGAGCGGTGAACAGCTGTTTGTGTGGCATCACTTCCTGCTGCTGGGCCCTCTATGTACCACCCTCTATGTACCAATGTACATTTATAACAAATACCACACATATTACGGTAATCAGCGTTGCATATGTGATACGATTAATCACATTGTTATGCACAAAGTTCAATAATGAATTCAAAAGTAGTGTACTGTGCACTTTTATTTTGAAAGTACTGCTATATGAACAAAAGGTCAATAACATTTGGTTTACAAACACTTTAAACACACTAGGTTGTTAGCAGCAGTATTCCCTTTACACAGCAGCAGTTATAACACAGTTATAATGATTCTGATCATAGATATTCAGCCGGTGTTCATAACTTTATCTTCATGTGTGTAAGAGATGATATTTAAATTTACTTCTTGAAAACTGCAAACCTATACGTCATGTTTTTATGTTTGTTAAATTCTCAGTAGTGATAACTAAATTATGCTTATTATACATATTACAAACAAAACACTTTAAAAACTCTAAAAAAAATAATGATAATTAAAGCTGCAAGCAGCGATGTACGGGCCCTCGCACCTTCCCGCGTCTCGGGGGTACTGGCGGGACGCCGGCAGACGCAGCCGCAAATGTCTTTGACCATCAGACAACACGTCCCGAAGTTCAACGTATTTTTAAAGCTGTGTGATGCTGGAAATTATGTAGTGCAAATATTCCACCAGTTCCTGTATCCACTATGTGGCGCTAGAGACCACGTGCAAACATACATTATGTTGCTCTACATCAAGTATAGACCACATCATGTAAATGTCATGTAAATCAGATTCAGTTTGTCTCATAACGCTGTCTTCCTGTTGCCAGTAGGTGGCACTATGACTATGAGTGAAAATTGGCTTGTAGACATCCTCAGGCCATGACTGTTATCAAGTATGGTGAGTTTGGGACAGATTTGAGCAAGTCCAGTAGAGTTACATCAGCTTGTTGTTTAACGGCGAATCACGTAAAATGGCCGCCACGCCACGGCTGCACCATTCCATCAAACGTAAAGCTTTGAGTAACTTTTAATAGCAAAGGTCTTTAGATTATACTGACCAAATTTGAAAAGGATCTGACAAAGTCTCTCGGAGTTCGTTAAAGTATAGCGACTAGAAATCAAGGGAAAATTCACACAAAAATCAAAATGGCCGACTTCCGGTTGGTTTTAGAGCATTGTCCCAAGAGACTTTTTTTTAAGTCTCCATATGATACATGTCCCTACCAAATATCATATATGTATGTCAAACGTAGCGCTGGGGCTGCGTTTTTGAATATTTGTAGGGGGCGCTATCGAGGCAATTTTCAACGGTCAAGCCAAAAAGCCATATGAAATATTTATTTACATCACCTATGACACCTGTGCAAGGTTCCAAGGTTTGCTGAACATCCTGAGCCACAGAAAAATAAGCCAAATTTTTCATGGTGAATGACGTGTTGCCACGGCAATGGGCGCCACATAAAATGAAGGTCGTTCAATGTCAGTAGACCATTTTAGTAACTTTTCATCATTAATATCTTTAGATCATCTTGACCAAATTTCAAGTCGATCGCATGAATTCTGTGGAAGGAGTTCGTTAAAGTACAACGTCTGAAAACTATGAAAATTTACGAAAAAGCCAAAAATGTCTTCACTACTGTATCGCTCCCTAGTGGTTGAATGGAATGAAAATTGTAGGGTACGTAACAATATACAATGTGCACAGATGAGACAAATTTTGCGATTATAGGCTAAATGGTTTTGAAGTAATGAGTATTGAAAAACAAAGCCACGCCTTATGAAGTTCATTGGTCCATATCTTCTAAACGTAATGAGATATCAAACATCTTTTGATAACATTTTATTA